TCTCTCAAATTAATGCTTCTTTTTCTCTCTATCCCCCTCCCTCCCTTACCACTCTCTCTAAAAATTAGTGGGAAAAAATACCCTCGGGTGAGGGTTTAAAAACAAAAAAGAATGCTATGAATAAATTAAAGAACACTTACAGCTAAGTGTTTTCATACATAATGACCCTACTTGATGGAACAGGATTTAGAAGTGGCTGAGTGCAATTGTCCCCCTCCACATTTTATTCCCCCTTGCAGTGCCAGCATCTTAACACTGTAGACAGTTCACTGATATTCAATCAATTAATAAACAAATAAAGAAACATGGCTCTTAGGAAGACTCCAGAAAGCAACAGTGGGGGACTTCCTGCATCTGGAAATTTCCCGAAGTTGATGAGGTCAGGTGAGATTGTGTCCCAGCAGGAAACTCCCTCGTGGGAGGAAGGGCCGATTCCACAGGCCGTGCTCAGCCTGCCCCGTGGACATCGCTCAGGAGCAAGAACAGGTCTGTTCAGGTCACCCCCGGCTCCTAAGGAGGGGCTGGGCCAGGTCTGGGCCAGGTCTGCGCTGACCGCGCCAGCCCCCGAGCCCCACTCCAGTTCCCTGACAAGCCACCAGGGTTATTTGATTTGTGGTGTTTGTCAATGTGTGCTCCCCCCGAGCAGACCTGAGCCCCTAGCCTCCTGTGAAGAGATTGGAGGCCTGGGTGGGGACTGTTCGGTACGAGCGTATGAAGAGAGCAGACATCCGTGTCCATGGGGGGCCACGGGGCTCCTCCGTCAGCGGAAACCCTGATCTCCAGAACCTGAATGTGGGGACCGGCGAAATCACCAATGCAGGGCGCAGACAACGAACCGTTCAGCCTCTATAGTGTTGTTTTTCTGGAAATGCGGTCTAAAACCAACCACAGGAGAAAGCTAGGAAAAGGGACGCATGAAAAATATTATCTGGAAAAAACATGACTTCTTGCTCAAACGTACCTGAATTTACTTGCTCAATCTCCTCCTCTTTTCAATGTTCATCCAAAGGCCTTCAGAGTCATTTTAGTTAAAACAAGTTGGGGTGAGAAACAGAACATCGGAGCCCACCTGCAGGAGAACCAGAGGTCCCTGGGAGGTGCGCAGGGCTGAGGCTCCGAGGGCAGGGGAGGTCCCTGGGAGGTGCGCGGGGCTGAGGCTCCCGGGGCAGGGGAGGTCCCTGGGAGGTGCGAGGGGCTGAGGCTCTGGGGGCAGGGGAGGTCCCTGGGAGGTGTGCAGGGCTGAGGCTCTGAGGGCAGGGGAGGTCCCTGGGAGGTGCGCAGGGCTGAGGCTCCCGGGGCAGTGGAGGTCCCTGGGAGGTGCGCAGGGCTGAGGCTCCGAGGGCAGGGGAGGTCCCTGGGAGGTGCGCAGGGCTGAGGCTCCGGGGCAGGGGAGGTCACTGGGAGGTGTGCAGGGCTGAGGCTCCGTGGGCAGGGGAGGTCCCTGGGAGGTGCGCAGGGCTGAGGCTCCGGGGGCAGGGGAGGTCCCTGGGAGGTGCGCAGGGCTGAGGCTCCGGGGGCAGGGGAGGTCCCTGGGAGGTGCGCAGGGCTGAGGCTCCGGGGGCAGGGGAGGTCCCTGGGAGGTGCGCGGGGCTGAGGCTCCGAGGGCAGGGGAGGTCCCTAGGAGGTGCGCAGGGCTGAGGCTCCGAGGGCAGGGAGGACACTCACCTGCGTGGAAGTGTTTAAAGTGTAGTGAGTGTGTCCCTGAGATCAGCCAGGGAGCCTGGCCCCCCAGGGGCTTCACTGCATTGGGTCTGGAGGCAGAACCAAGCACAGGCCCCAGGGAGCAGAAATCTGCTGTGAATGCCCTGGCCTGCGGTCCAGAGAGTCCCGGGTTCGGTTCCTGCTAGGGGCATGTACCAAAAAAAAAAGAAATCTGCTGTGAGTTCCCCAAAGGCTGCAGATGTCACCCAGGAGACTGGTGGCACCGGCTTTCTCCCCGCAGAGGGATGTGAGCCGCTGGGCAGGGCCAAGCGGTGCTGGAGCGGACAGTCTCAGCAAGGAAACAACCCTGTACCCAGCACCTTCCTGACAGGACCATGGCCAGCGAGCAGCCTGCCTCCATCGTCTACAGACCCACCCCCTCCCCACTCGTCTGCATTTCCGATCAGGCAAAGGGCATCACCAGTGGACCGCCTTTGCCGGTCCCTCTTCCTCAGGCTGACAGTTCCGCAGAGACTGGCTGGGCGCTGGGCGCGTTTGGAAATAACCACCCCCGCTGCCCCGGCCGAGAGCTGCAGGTGCGATCGTGTTCTGTAATTTGAAAAAAGAAATGAATTGAAAGCATCAAAATGCGTCTTCCTATGAAATGGGTTCACTGAAAGAAGCAGGAGGAAATCTTGGAAAATCCCTCATTTGCATTTTCCGGAGGACTTTGCGTGCCTGTATCTGCCACACTGCCAGCTCCTTCATCTTCTCCGGAATCAAAGCCCCCCCGCCCCAGGACACCATCCTCTTCCCCAGAGCAAGCTGGTGAGGACTGTAGTGGGGACAGAGATGCTTCATCCGCCTGCTGCTCCTGACAACACAGGTGGCCGGCTCCTATCTCAGAGGAGAGAATGCGCTTACAACACCCATCCCCTCGCTCACTCAGAATAGCCCTTTTCACAGTAGTCTCCACGCCTGATGCTTTTACAACGACGCCCAGAGCTCGACCGCGAGACAGAGGAGTCAGCCAGGAGAACGTCATCCCTCTGGTCGGAAAAGGACCGAGGAAAAGGGCGTGGCCTGCCACTGGGCTCAGACCCGCCCTGCAAGTGGGAGGTGACTAAAGCATGCCGGAGATGGGGTACCTGCCACCCTGCACCCGCCAAGGGCAGAGGTCGTCACCTGCGGTGCCCCACTCCAGGCATGCACCACCCTGCCCCCGGCCACTGCAGTGCCCACCCTCCCTGACTCCCACCGGCCTGGGGCTCCAAGGTTCTGACCCCACCCGGGACCCACGTCAGGACCCCACCCGTAAGTCTGCGATGAAGGACCTAAATATCGGCTTGATAACGTGCCAACCTGGGGAGATGCCGGCTCCAGCCTGGCCTTCGAGCGCACGAGGGTAGAGGAACACCTTGCACCCGCCCCAGCTCGGAACCAGCAGACGGCTCAGGTTTCCACCCGGCAGCCCGAGGCCCCCACTCAGTGCTGGGGGAGGGGGGGGTCGGGGCGGGGGCTCAGGGCTGGCAGAACCTGGGCTTGCCGGCCCCTCCCCTCGGTCTCTATGCTTCCCTATGTCGTCAACGTTCTTCATGTCAGTCAATTTCATCCTGTTCTTTTCATTGAACTATTTACCACATTGTATGAAAGTATCACCTTTTATTCAGCCACCTCTCCGACTGACCGAGAAAAACAAGTTGCACAATATATACAGTAAATATCAAACTGATAGCCACACACACAAAACACTAGCGTGTGTACGTGTGTGTACAAGCAGTCAAAGGATTGGGAGGGAACACAATGTAATCAAAATGATATTCCCCTTCGGGGAGAGGGGAGTTGATCAAGATGGAGAGTGGGGGCCAAAGGGATTTGAGTTTTATCTGAACTGTTACGGTTTTTAAAGAAAAATGTATTCATCTGTTATTGAATAACTTAAGATTAATTTAATAGAAAAAAGTGCTTTCGTGCCGCCTGGGACACTCAGGGAATGTGTCTTCAGGGTTCTCCGGAGAGACAGACAGACAGACAGGCTTGTTCTAAGGAACTCACTCGGGATCGCGGGGGCTGGCTAGACTGAACCCCATGAAAGGAGCAGCAGCTGGGGGCCCGGCGTGGTTTCCATGCTCCTCAGAATTCCTGGCAAACACTCCCTCTGGGAACCCTCGGCTGTGCTCTGAAGATGTTCGGCTCTTTGGGCACAGCCCCCCCAGAGTGGAAGGTGCCTGCTTCATTCCAAGTCAAGGGACTGTGGCTGTTCATCGCGTCCAATACCCTCACAGCAGCGTCACACGCTGCTGCCTGACCAAACATCCGGGCACCCCAGCCTGGCCAGGTGCACGTGAGCTTTGCCCACCACAGGGGTGAGCTTTGCCCACCACAGGGGCTTTCTGGACTCTCCTGTCTCCTGCATAGGGTCAGACCCGAGACTCCGGTCCCAGACTGTGCTTTCTGATTGGGACTCTGCCCAGACCTGCTGGTCTAAGGTCTCTTGGCGTCTGATTTTGGGCTTGCCCCTTGGTCCCCTTGGTCCCCTTGGTCCCCTTGGTCCCCTGGGCCCCAAGCTTCTCATCCACAGCCCAGCCCTGCGTCCAGCCCATCCGGTGCCCTTGCCTCTGCTTATTTGGGGCTATGGACTTGGAACAGGTGCAAGCCCGTCTGAAGGATTCTGGGAAACCTTTTATGAAGGACATGGCATTTTAAATGAGTAACATTCTTGCTTCCTCCCTTATCCCCCCTATTTTTACTAGTGATACATTATGCAGTAGAACTTTAATATTACTATCTCATAAAATTCTGTCAAAGGAAAAAGAATAAGATAACCCATAATCACACCACCCTCAAATAACCACTGCTAACATTTTAGCATACTTCAGTCTTTTTCCTACATGTATAATTTTGCAGTCGTAATCATACCTGATGTATAATTTTATCATGTTTTCCCACTTATCACTATGAGCGCTTCTCATGTTGCTCCATAATCTTCATGGCTGTTCACTGAACGGAAAAGTTTTATTAACTATCCTGTTATCTTTAAATATTTCCCATTTCTTCTGCCAAGAAATACACACATCTTTGTGACTGCAGTGTTCTTCTTCATGCCTTGAATTCTTGCACATAGATTTCAAATTGCTTGGCCAAAGAATATGTACTTTTTTGATCTCTTGACATATTTTTTAAAGGTTGCACCATTTTCCACTAAGAACAGGGTCTTTAGTCTCTTGAGAGTAGAGCTTTGACAGGTGGGGAGCACGAGACCAGCAGGAAGACCTCCCAGCCCCGAAGCCCAAGCCTTGCATTCTGCAGAGTACCCCAGTGCTCACGGTGCCCTGGTTGGTGTTGCTTGTTTTTCGCAGACTGAGCAGTTGATAACTCTGTGGGTCCTCTTTGTCTTCACCGTCGTTGGAAACTCCCTTGTGCTGTTCTCCACCTGGAGGAGGAAGAGGAAGTCGAGAATGACCTTCTTTGTGACTCAGCTGGCCATCACAGGTAAGGAGCTGTGCAGGTGGCAGGGCGATGAGCCGTGTGCCAAAGTCCTAAGGCTTCTTGCTTTCAATGATTTAACCAGTAGAAGCAGTAGATGACCTGTCATCCAAAAAGCTTGAGCAGATTTGGGAGTGATTTCAATAGGGACATAAAACCTATATTTGAATGTTTCTTCCAGCAAATTTAACACATTTAGATATCCATAAGATTCCACTATAAAAATAACTCACTGCACAACAGAGTTGAAAACACCAATATCAGCGCCACCAAAGGGTTCTAGAACGCAGCAGTCTCTCTAGTTTACTAAGGTGATATTACCATATCATACCATACTCTGAGCTTTAAGAAGAGATCCAAGAAAATGGACCAGAATTATTTCTAGTCAATAAAAAATATGAAGTCTCAAGTACTTTGCAGGTTTAAGTCCACGGGCATCGCTTTTGCAGTGTAAGTAGCTTGCAACACCACTTACATTGCACTTATGGGCATGGCATAAGGGCATCCGATAATAAGCGGGATTAAGATGCTTACATGTGGATTTGGAGAATGACTAGTAGAGTTGAAATGTGGATGCATGATACCTAGAAGGGGAATGGTGAAGCATTTCAAGCTGAAAATGATTTGTGAAAAAAAGACCCCCACAGAGATGGGTTGAGTTCACATTGGTAGGAAAACATCCCCAAAAGGAGAGTCCGATTCCACCGGCCAGAGGAGGAAGTGGGCAGATGAGACGCCCAGAGGGTCCTGAGCTCTGGGGACAAGGTAGCTGTCATAGGAGTTTAATTTGAATCAGACTGTAGGCCAAATGCAAAAAAGAAAATAAGTGTTAAGCACTAACAAGAAGCAATCTTGTTAGTATTAAGCACTAACAAGAAGACAGTCAGGAAGGGCTGTTTGGTAATGGTACATTTCACCCTTATCAGGTGGCACCGTGTTGTGGTAATGGCAGTGGAGAGTTTTTGGAAATTCAGTCTTGAGCCACAATATAAGAAAAATACAACACTGTAACTTACAAGAGAACCTTAGCCATACGTTGTCAATAACCTGAAAGTCCCCCTCTCTGCCTGAGCTAGGCTACAGTGACCAGCATGAAAAACAAAGGCCCTCTTCAGAAGTGTAAAGATGCTATGAGGAGCCTGTCACAGAGGTAGGAGTTGTGATGGGAGAAAACTCCTTCAATTGTTCCTACAACCTGGAGTCCCATGATTTAATTCTTAGAATCTTAAAAGGAAAGGGTAATTTAGAATATCCAGCAAATACTGAGATGCAACATCCCTGGATGAGGATGTAATGACTTACTTGCATTATGTTTCCTCAATTACCATGAGGTAACCAACATTCTACAGAGCTACGTGTTCTTTCAAAGGGTAAGCACTTCAAGGTGGCCAAGATATCAGCTTGGAATTTAAAGTCAAGTCAAAATTAATCAATAAATGAACAACTGACATTTCAGCATCTATTGTCAAAGAGAAAAGTTGTGTGTTCTATTCCACTCTATTGTCTGCTGTATGAACCTGGGCTTCATGTCTCATGAATGTTCTAGAGTCTGGTTTTTACTTGTTGATTCCCTGTTGGAAAAACTCAAGGGGTCAGATCAGGAGTATCTCAAATGAAGAAGTCTTGGAGAGGTGAGCTTTGCCAAGGGACTAAGATTGCGCTAACTTTTTATTTAAGATAGCAAAGTTTCTTCCAATTACATGTCGCCATGATCTCAGATGTCTTAGCAAGGGAGTAGAGAATAATATCTGAGTCTTGAATAAGTCTCTAAAGGTTACTCAGGTATCACTGAAGGATGCTATTCTTTGAGATTTATATAACTCTGATTTGAGTTCCCTATTCCATGTTGGATTTGGGTTTTGGTTTTATTTCGTGCTGAGAGTAAGGAAGCACTGAGCTCCCTTTTCTCTGAAACCATCCACAGATACATGACTTTCTATATTTAAAAGACTTTACCAAATGTTATAAGCAGCGAGAGGAGATTGCACCATAGAAAATCAAATCTCTTAAAATTAAATATTATATATTTTCAAACCTTTCAGCTTCCACCAGAAACTCCTCGGTGTGCCTTGTGTCCTGTCTTCACCATTCTGCTTTCTCCCTCCTATAAATGTCCATCTGTCTTATGGCAAGCTTTGTCTTGGCATTTGCTTTGAAGACAGGAGGACTTCTAGAGTGAATAATGGCCTTGACTACAATCCCATGGATGCGTTCCCTTGGTGACAATTCACCAAATGATATACTTATGACTTGTGCCCTCTGTGTGGTCTGTTTCAGTAAAAGTGTACCTATGAAACATGCCACCTCCGCAGAGAGGAAGCTGCCACCGCCAATCCTCCTGGCGTGGGCAAGCGAGGTAAAGGGGCAGGAGCCTGGGGAAGAGACGAGGACAAAGATGAGGGGTAGTGGGGGTCTGGAGGCCCCACTCTCGGCGTGCAAACTCCGTGTGTGGAAGGCTGTGCTCATCATGCAAACCACGTGAGCTGGCCACACGTGGCCTCAGGGCCACTGAGTTACAACTGCCAATGTAAAATTTTTAAATCAGAATTCGGAAATCTTGTTCCATTATAAAATGCTAGCCTGCCCCTAAAGTCTGACTCCCACCTTCAACAGGTGAGTAGAGCATTAAGCGTTTGGGGGTGGGGGTGGGGACATTGAGAGCAGGGAGGTGAAGAGCTTAGCACTGACAATGGTTTAGACAGATCACGTGTTTGACAAAGTTTCACAATTCATTCTCTTTAAAGAAGTTGCTGTGTTAGGACTTTCTTCTCCAGTTTCTTTTATTATGAATTAAAAAAAAAAAATCGAACCAATATATGCCTAGGGAACAAGAACAATGAGAATAAAAACATTGAGGAAATCTTTCTAACGCCGTCAAATCTAAGCCATGCAACCTGAAGTCTTCCTGGTTTTCAGACAAGCACTAGATTCGAGGGAAAAGGAAAGTCAGCTCACACTGCTTACCACTCGGATTCACATCAGAAGACCACGTGCTGGGCTTCTCTCCATGAGGGAAAAACATTGACAAGACCCAGGCCCTATGAGGGTGACATTAGAGCGGAGGCTGCTGGCTCAGACTCGACGTGACAGAGTCGTTATCACACAAAGATGTTGTTGTTACTGTGTCCCTGCTATGGAATACGTTTGCATAAATATGACTATAATTTTATAGGTGTTTTTCTCTTGGCATCAAGGACTAAGTCTGCTTAGTCTGCCATAATAAAACACCATAGATTGGGTGGCTTAAATATCACATTTAAATAGCTTGACTGACACAGTGCTGGAGCCTGGAAGTCTGAGGGCAGGGTGCCAGCATGGTGGGGTCCCGGGAAGAGCGCCCCCCCTGGTTTGGAGCGGGCTGCCTTTGTTACCTCTCCATGTGCCTCTTCCTCTGTGCCTGTGCAGAGAGAGAGAGAGAGAGAGAGAGAGAGAGAGAGAGAGAGCAGGCTCCATGGTGTTACTTCTAATCAGAAAACGAATGCCAACAGATCACAGTCCTGGCCTTATGACCACACGGACATGAACTGCTTCTGCAAAGGCAGTATCTTCAAATAGTTATGTTTGGGGGTTGGGGCTTCAAAACACGGATTTTGGAGAGGACACAAGCATTCAGGCCCTGACAAAGGGAAAGAACCAGGCGCATCAGAAGATTGCAGCCGAGCCCTGGCCGGTTTGGCTCAGCGGTTAGAGCATCGGCCTGCGGTACAGAGAGACCCGGGTTCGGTTCCCGCTAAGGGCATGTACCTCGGTTGCAGTTTGTCCCCGGCCCCGGTTGGTTGTGCGGGTGGCAGCCACTCGATGTGTCCCTTTCACGTTGATGTTTCTCTCTCTCTCTCTCCCTACCACTCTATCTGAGGAAAAAATGGAAAAATGTCCTCGGGTGAGGATAAAAAAAAAAAAAAAAAAAAAAAAGAAGATTGCAGCCGATTCCGGATGGTGGGCCACAGCCGAGGGGATGGGGTCCCAGGTGAAGGCGGAAGGGATGGGGGTCCCAGGTGAAGGCGAAGGGATGGGGTCCCAGGTGAAGGCGAAGGGACGGGGGTCCCAGGTGAAGGCGGAAGGGACGGGGGTCCCAGGTGAAGGCGGAAGGGACGGGGGTCCCAGGTGAAGGCGGAAGGGACGGGGGTCCCGGTGAAGGCTGAAGGGATGGGGGTCCAGGTGAAGGGCGAAGGGACGGGGGTCCCAGGTGAAGGCGGAAGGGAACGGGGGTCCCAGGTGAAGGCGGAAGGGGACGGGGTCCCAGTGAAGGCGGAAGGGACTGGGGTCCCAGGTGAAGGCGGAAGGGATGGGGGTCCCAGGTGAAGGCGGAAGGGACGGGGGTCCCAGGTGAAGCGGAAGGGATGGGTCCCAGGTGAGGCGGAAGGGACGGGGTCCCAGGTGAAGGCGGAAGGACGGGGGTGTCCCAGGTGTAGGCGGAAGGGACGGGGGTCCCAGGTGAAGGCGGAAGGGAGGGGGTCCCAGGTGAAGGCGGAAGGGATGGGGTCCCAGGTGAAGGCGGAAGGGATGGGGTCCCAGGTGAAGAGCGGAAGGGATGGGGGTCCCAGGTGAAGGCGGAAGGGAATGGGGGTACCAGGTGAAGGCGGAAGGGATGGGTCCCAGGTGAAGGCGAAGGGATGGGGGTCCCAGTGAAGGCGAAGGGGATGGGTCCCAGGTGAAGGCGGAAGGGATGGGGGTCCCAGGTGAAGGCGGAAGGGATGGGGGTCCCCAGGTGAAGGCGAAGGGATGGGGTCCCAGGTGAAGGCGGAAGGGATGGGGTCCCAGGTGAAGGCGGAAGGGATGGGGGTCCCAGGTGAAGGCGAAGGGACTGGGGTCCCAGGTGAAGGCGGAAGGGATGGGGTCCAGGTGAAGGCGAAGGGATGGGGGTCCCAGGTGAAGGCGGAAGGGATGGGGGTCCCAGGTGAAGGCGGAAGGGATGGGGGTCCCAGGTGAAGGCGGAAGGGATGGGGGTCCCAGGTGAAGGCGAAGGGATGGGGTCCCAGGTGAAGGCGGAAGGGATGGGGTCCCAG